GGCAAACCCAATCCGCGAAACCAAAAGCCGCTCTCGAAAGAACAAACTCGAAGCCGCTGTTTATCGGGTAGCGTGAAAGGTTAAATCGCTAGCCACCAGATGGCGGGGTCAAGCAGAGTAATTGCAAGCAGCTAGGCTAGGTGGCGCTTGGTACCGCCCAATTTATGTTCTACAAAAAATAATGTATTTTCTTCAGGCCACTACTGCGCTTAGAGCCGCTCTTCTGCGCTTGGGGATCCTCTACTTTACACACACATTACACTTATTACAAACATTAGGTGAACATACATTGAGCACATACACGGCACACACACAAATATCAATACAACGGAACACCACACTAACCCGAACACTACACCCGTGCTCTGCGTTTCCGTGTTTTATACTGGTCGTTTTGAACGTGCGGAACTTTTCGGTGACCCCCTAAGCAATAAAAAATATTCCCAGCATGTTGATTTTTTCCCAGCAATGTCATACCTCTGAAAGTATTTTAAATGGCTCAAGGGATGAATCTCTTATCAAAAGTAAACGCTCGATCAAGCCGTAATTATTTGAAAGCCTATAAATCGAGCCGCCCTAATGCGGTTCGAAGCCATGAGTTTGTTTCCCCACGCGGCACGTCGTAGCCTGTATTTCTATTGGTTTTTCTTTTTGTGCTGTTCGCGCAAAGCTGCAATTGCCGTCTTGAATTAATCTCTGTAGAGCGGATATTCACTCAGCTGGAAGTGATGCTTCACATGCTGAGAAATCGCTTTTCGATCAACTTGAATGCAGTCAAAGCCGCGACTTGCGGCAGGTGTTCAGTGTACGGAGCTACGCCGTGGCGAGCCCAAAAACGTCTAGCGCTGATCCCAGCGCGCCACTTGGAAGGCAGTTTCTCCAGGAACCGTAGTATATTTAAACAGCATAATAAAGGGCAGCTTTTTTTTTCGATTTTACCTTCTATTGTTTTTTAATGCCGAAATTCCATACTGTAAATATACGTACTTTCCGTCACGATTTCGTACTGTTCAGTCCTTGCCCCAGAGCGCAATCGCTCTCGGGGACGAGACAATTCCGACAGTCATATTGGCCATTGTACGATAGCGGTAGGAGCTTCTACTGGTCAGACCAGCGTTCCAACATGACTATCCGCACGTTGATCGATTGCACATAATCCCTCAAGTGGTATTAAACTTTTTAATGTAAAGCGGAATGTCAACCTGCGACATCCCGCCCCCTCATCACGGCCCGACCAACGGCATCAATGCCCGACAGTTTACGATCTCATCTTGTTGTTACACCACTGATACGCGAACACACGGTCACATCGGCGATAATTCCAGTCTTCTGTTCACAACCCACAACACTGCCATCACAATGTTGCAGCCATGTTGCTGACACGCACAAATACAGAACCACGTTGAACGCCGGTTGCATTCGGCATCGGAAAACAGAACCGAACTCAGCGCGGAAGGCACCCAGGCAGCCGGCAGCAAAACCTGCCTGTCTTGGACGCAGTTCCTGCGGTTTCCATTACGTCGAAAACGTCGACACAGTTCCGCGTGGTTTCGCTACTGTAGCGACTGTAGTTCCGTCGGTTCGCCGCGCGCGCGAGTCCCGCAATCCGGAGACGGCCATCCCCCAGTGTACGTGGCACCGCTGGCACTGCTCCGCAACTTCGCTGTTTCTAGCGGCTTCGTTTGCTCGTTTGATAAAATTAGTGATAAAAGCGTCAATGCAACCGAAATGTTCTGCACGTTTAGACTAGAAGACGGAATTACAGGCGGCCTTTACTGCCGCTGAAGCTCAATGAACTCAACAGCTATTTATTAAACAACGTGGGCGACCTGCTCGAAAAACGAAACCGAAAGAAGATGAGTCGGGAGGGCGAAAGCTTTCTCCCGTCTGCCTGGAGAAGGAGAAAAACGTTTCGTTCCTCCCCTTTTCTCGTGTCCGGTTGGGGGCGCGTCAGTAGAAGGGAGGAAGACGCGCCGTTGCTACTTTTTTCCTCCATTTTTTCTTAGAGTGTGGCGTCTGAAATCTAAAAAAAATTGGGTTGTGCGTATGTTTATACAGCCAGTCTGCCTGAACGGGCGACAAGTCTTCCAGCTGTAGATGAGTAATCTAGCCATTGCAGTACAACCGCTAGCCTGGGGCCTTTAACGTGCATCACGTAGTGGTGATACACGACCGCACGCCGGTACGATGTTCATCCAGATCCGTCTGAAAGCTAGCTCAGTGCTACGCTGTGCCGCCATGATTTTCCCAAGTGCGGCACGTTGCACGTGTGCCTCTTGCATCCACTCACCTTTCGCTACTTTTAAAACATGAAGGGGCTTTACTTATATACGGTACTATGGTCATAGCGCAGGATTTTAGCAAACCGTTACCCTGTTCCGCGTATTGCCCTACCGAAGCCTTTAAAGGGGCCATAAAACGAATTTTGGGTTGGGATGAATGATTTTAAATTGGGACTTTGCTAATCGCATATCGTTTAGTTGGCCAAAAGAATGAGGCTAGAAAGTCAAAAGCCAGCTCTTCGGTACAAACATTTGAAAATATAGCGGACTATTTTGTACCTTCTTGCCTTCGAAAGCTCTCCGCCTTTTCACTATGATACATCCGCGGTTCCAAAAGCGCGTCACCGGCGCCAAACTGACGTCAGCAGAGCCCAGCTCACGCATTGGACACAAGAACTGTGTCACTAGGACGTATGCGCTCGTCAACAATCAATCCGTCGACGAATATTTGGATTCGCGTTCGTGGCCAATGAGTGCCCTGACGGAACTTATCGTCACTGGGAATGACAAGTTCTATGGTGTGCATAAAATGCACGGTGGAAGCTAGGAGTCATCGCACCGGTGCCGAAGGAATGTCACGACCACGTGATTTCACAATTCTTATTTGAGTTGAGGATTAAAGCTAAGGAGGAAGAAGTAGGAAAATCGTTTCATGACCCCTTTAAAGCATGCTTTTAAGCGCGCGCCGGGGTGATACTATGGCAGTGGGGCGCGCGCTCAAACAGATGTTTCAAAGGCTCCGGTATAGTGCGGTACGCGGAACACGGTAACGGTTTGCTAAACGCCCCCAGTGCCAGATGTGGCACGAAGCGTAGAACCGTACTTGGTCGCTGGAAGAAGCGAGCGATCCCCACAGCTCCCTTACACTGATCGAGGAAAGGGTGGCTGGCCGGTGCCATTTTTATCATTCGTGCGTATGGCGCGTGCTTTCTTCACTTCGCAAAGCGACCAACACGCGCGTGCTGGGCTTTGAAGGTCTCGCGCTGCAGGCTGTACATTTGTAAACACTGGAAGAGGGCATAGCGGAATCGCTGGTAACGCCCAGTGTCACTGAATACCTGTTCAATGACTCTACTTCTGCCGAAGCACGTTTCAAAGCCGCGATCCTGCCCTAAAAGCAGAACGGTAAATAGAAGTGTATGTGACTCAGACTTGTGGCTATCTTAAATACTCTACTCAAAATACTGTATTTCAAATACTTCTTGTGGTATCTTGGTATCGTGAAAATACATTTCGTCTAGGGTATTTGCTACTCAATCTTAATTACATTTTTCCCTATCTTGTACTCAGTAGCTCAAATGCATTTTTAATTTTCTAAAATATATGTCGCGGGAACAATCTACCGAACTAGGGATTGTTAAATTTCAGGCCAAAGCTCAACCGACTGCAGACTTGGAGGCAAGCGACCAAACACAGGACAGGAAAAAAGGCACGAACGAAGCGAAGTCTCCGAATAGCAGCAAAAAACCAAATGGACAGCCCCAAGTACGCCCGCCTAACCTCTTGTCATTTTTTCTTTTTTTTTTTTTTTTTTTTTTTTGCATGGCAAGTAACGTTTAGAGCTAAGAAAATGCTGGTTACGTCCTCCGGAGTTTACACGTTTCGTCTGAAGCTAGATTGTGGCGCCAATGCTTCTGTACGGTCCCAATGAACCATTTTCGGAAATCGCCGGTCCAGGGGGTTCTGGTACGAAAATGCGCGAGCACTACCTCGATCAAGGACGCTAGATCCTACTGACTTTATTGAGCTGCACTTAGATTGGGCTTCCCCAAAGCCCTTTGTGGGCCTTTTATGGCTAAACCTTGGCTCTCAAGCTCGCTCTAAAGCGTTTCTTCTATCTCCTTTCGGCGGATGCGCACATTGTTTCATTTTCAGAATTACCAAAACCAGTTTTCAGCCAGGTGGAGCCAGTGATTGAACGCGGTTTTGTAGCCACTCTCTTCTGTTGCTTATGTTTCCCTCTTAATCTTCGTAATATCTTTTTTGACAGTTAGAAGGTACAGGTGCCCCTCCCCCCCCTTTTGACTTTTTTATTAGTATGTTACCAAGTTGACACCTACTTGCTATGTATCTTCGGATGTAATTCAATTGACCTTTTCACAGTTCGGTCACGATCGTGGCGCGCCCTCGCGGGAATCGCTCGAAACACTTTTGGTGGCTCTGGCACCGTCTCTCCGTCTTCCGCGCCAGGCCCGGCGTGCCTCCCGGTCCATGTGTTTACGTGTCTTCTCTAGTGGCGTTGTTCCGTCTTTCCCCATTCTGAACGTGTCTTTCTGTCTTCGTTTGGCTTGCATATTTTCTTCGATATGGCTGAGGACGACCTGGAGGATTAACAAAAGCTACTGTCTACGATACAGAGGACCTCGTTCGTTTTTATGCCTCCAAGGGTGCATAGACATCCGATGCTGCGTCAGTTTCTACCATCGATTCGGAGCCACTTAAGGCCGGTTCACACATACAGCGGAGCGCTAAGTCAGCGCTACGTGAGCGCTCCAAGGAGCGCTCATGTGGCGCTTCCTAGCGCGTGATGTAGCGCTCCGTTAGCGCTTCAGCAGCGCTCTGTTAGCGCTACAGAAGCGCTCTGTTAGCGCTCCAGAAGCGCTTTGTTAGCGCTCTCACGCTCCTTATGCCGTGCTTGCTGCTGCGGAACAGCGCGTGCACGGCGATTCCTTTGTTGTTGTTTTTCCTGTGGTGCTGAAAGAAGAGGAAGTAAAAGAGCCGCTCTCTAGGCAAAGGGTCAGGCAGGTGAACCAGAGTCATGGACTTTGAGCGACTAATTGATTCCGTACGACCTCATCGCTTCCTATTCGACATGCGTGACCCTGGTTTTAAAGACACGGAGTTAAAAAATAATAGGTGGGAGCTGATCGGCAAAGAACTAGGGGTATCAGGTAAGGTTTTGATTGAAGCGATATACAGGGTGTCACAAAAGAAAATTAACACGGTCTTTTTTACCGCAAAAAATAAACTAGACATCGCCGAACACTCATTATCCGCCCAAAGGTAGCGGTAGAGGTCACAACCACATGCTAAAGTTTCAGCCCGATCCGATAACTTAATCAAAAGTTATAACTGATTTTCTCAAATTTTCAATGGGAAAATGGCGGCCGACGGAGTTTCCGAACACATGGGGCTCTATGGCACCAGAAACCGAAAACGGACAAAAATGAGCCCCATTTTCCCATTGAAATTTTCAGAAAATCACTTATAACTTTTGATTAGGTTATCGGATCGGGCTGAAACTTTGGCATCTAGTTGTGACCTCTAGTTCTATCTTTGGGCGGAGAATGAGCGTTCGGCGATGTCTAGTTTATTTTTGCGGTAAAAAAGACCGTGTAAATTTTCTTTTGTGACACCCTGTACATGCATGGTGTGTGCTCGAAAATAAAAGATAGGGTGAGAAATATAATTGTTCTGGTAATCTTATCTCGGGGATTGAGGCGTCTCAAAAATTTCGAACTATGAAAACAAAATTTGGGAAGTTGAAACGAAAATACGAGGAAAATACGAGGAGCGGCTCTTCCTACACTCCGCCTCCAGCTTGGAAGCACTATCGATCCATGGATAGCCTGTTGAGAAGCCGGGAAGTACCAACAGAGTGGTAAGTACGGTTCATATACATCGAGTTCAATTTAAACGTGTTCAGAAATGTCTTCATTCTTTTAGGACGCTGTCAAACCTCAGCCCTTCAGCGAGACCTTCTGTCAGCTTGACCGAAGACCACCCTGCTCATGACAGCGTGTCTTCTCTGATGTAAGCATTAATTTTAATATTTAGACGTGACACATTTGGTCTCATGCCGTGGGGTACATTGCAGCAACAACATGACAACTCCCGGTAAGGACAGCGGAGTAGAGGAAACTCTTGCCAAGTAAGTGACTAGCACTGTCGAACTATGCGCCACCACAATAGCGTCTCTAGGTGCTGTGCATTTGGTCTAGAATGCATATATGAAGTACCACATACATGTCTATTGGTAAAAAATGAGTGCAATTTTTGTACTCTTCTGGAAAGAAAAATTTTAATTTGCAGCTCCGAAACTAGTTCAACAACGGAGATTACAGAAGACACGTGAGCTTGGTTTTCACTCTATCTATTGCACAAGATTAAAGACTACTAAAATAACATTATTTCTTCCTCCAGGACAAATACCTTAGAGCAAGGACGCGGCGATACGTAAGTTTTGGTGTTCTTTGTTTAGTTATTTTGAGTTTTTATATTTATTTTCATAATGTATGATTATTTATTTGCCGGTAATTTCTTGAGGGCGGCAGATATGGACATAGAGACAAAACAAAATTGCTGATACCACGAAGTGTTTCTTTTTATCGTACGTACAACCAAATTGGTTTTAAAAGCCAAGATTTTTTAAACTGAATTTGACGTTTTCGCTTCATTATTTACGCTTTTATTGAAGAGGTAGTATCTGTAATAAACACTTTCATTCCGAGCTGCCGTAATCCGGCATGTTCTTTTACAGAGCTCCACAAACAACGGGCAGAGGAACAACGAGGTATATGCTTGCAGATTTTTATGGTTGTACAATCTTATACTTTTCCTTTTTTAAATGTATTCCTTCGTGGCTGCGACCAAAAGATACGAGTCCCAAGGTTCTGCCGTATATATCGGTAGGACTAATGATCGACGTGACGTCCACAGCTCTCCCTTTCAGAACTCATAGTTATACTGCTGCTAAACGAATCAAATCGTTTCGCATCCGGGTTGAAAACCGCAAGGCTAGGAAGCTTTGCTGATTTATGTATATTACTGAGTCAAAAAACGTTTTATGCTAGAAAAAAAAACAAAGAAAAACAACAAGAAATGGAGTATGAGAGGAGTGCACCGATCCTTCGTGCCTTTTTCTTGACGCCATTATTGCAATTTATAAAGTGTAGGGTGAGGTAAAATAAAAAGCAGTTGTTTGGTTTTCCATTTTACAGTGTCGCACTTTATAATAACATCCTTTTATAATAACGCGTAAAAAGATAATTATGTGAAAATATAAAACATGAAAACCATGCAACATATGTCAAGAAAATAAACTTCTTCCTATTGTTCAAAATATATATTACAGACAAAGACGAAGCCAAGACATCGTATACTGTATCAAAGAAAATCTCCGAGGATTGAACGAAGCAAGGCTGCCGCAGCAGATGACTCGCCAAAATGACGACTTTCATCACTTTGGAATGATGGTGGCCGAGCGCCTGAGAAAGATGCCTAAGCTGCAGGCCTTAAGGGCAATGTCCGTTGTGCAACAACAGCTGTTGAACTACGAAGAGGAACACCTCATGAACCAATAAATCTAACTCGCTCTTGTGACAATCTTGTTTTGCCACTTGACAGAACCTTGACCAGAGAAATAGTCTGCAAAATCATTCCGAACTTGAGCTGCTGGCTGGTCATGTTTGGCTGAGCTGGGCAAGCGAGGGAGGTGTTGAAGCACTGTGCGCCCTTCAGTGTTTTCTGCTCCGCTTGGCCCTTCAGCCAAATGCTTGTCATTTTCCCTCTCAAGAAGAGCTGGAAGGCAGTAGATGCTTCGGCTGTGGACCTCAGAAAGCAGAAAATTGTGAAGGGCAACACAGGCGCCTATGTAGGCAACAGTGTTCTTTTCAGATGCTTTGAAAGTTCTTCTAAAAATTCTCCACCGGTTTGAGAGGATTCCAAAAGCATTTTCTGAGACCCTCCGTGCTCGGGACAGTCTGTAGTTAAATACACGCTTCTTGAGCGCTTCTCCCTTGCCTTCGTCGTTCTGGTCTTTGTTGATATCCACTTTGGGGTATGGTTTCATTAAATAGGTTTTCAGAGGAAATGCCTCATCTCCGACTATGACGAATGGCATTTCTTTGCTTGTCCCGGGCAGGGACTTCGATCGAGGGAAGCCCAATGTGCCCTTTTCCAGGCTCAGTCCGATCTCACTCCTTGATAAAATGCCGCCATCGCTTTCACAGCCGGGTCGGCCAATGTCCACCAGCAAAAAGCGGTACCGGGCGTCAACGACAGCCATTAGGACCTGAAAAATATAATACAAGTATATATTAGAAAGTGTGCTGGTCAACCAAGTAATTCAGAACAGAGTTTTATAATGTAGCGAGTAAACCGTTGGGTAAACTTCCAAAGTGATAAACACAGAAGCGTGAGGGAGTTCGTGATTTACTTATAAGAAAGACGTGCAACATAACTACGAAGAGGCTGTTGCGTGCCTTTCCTGTCAGTATTCTTATTTTGTGATGTATGTCTTTAAATTTCATCACTTTTCTGGATGCAATATCTAGAAAAAAAAAATCCAAGTTATCACGTGAAAATGATATGGCTCAATTTACTTTGCTGAATGCGTGCTTGTAGTTGAAATGTGTTGATCCACTCAGCAGCGGGCACTCGATGGTGATGTGCTTTCCGTCCATGGCGCCAACACAGTTTGGAAAATTCCACAACCTGTGAAAGTCGTCAGCAACAGACACCCATTCTGATGGCGAGCCCGGTTTCTTCACGTAGTTCGGAACGAGACACTGCCATAGAGCCTGGCACGTGCTTGAAATTATCACGCTCGTTGTTGAGTGCCCGGTGAGAAATCCAAATGATATGCTTTTTTGGGTATCTCCACTTCCAAGGAACCTATGAGCACACATTACATAATGATCATTACTTTGAAAACTAAATATCAGCCAAATAAAGATACTGCATTTCAAAGAAAAGCATGTGCATTGCTTAGGTTAATATATGGCATCTAAATGACGTCACTGATAGCCGTACTTGCGCCCTCCGCTTACAGCACAGGCTCAGAAAGAATAATATTTTATCGTCTGCCAAGAATGGCAGTCTTGATCAGTGATCTCTATAATCACTTGCTGGATCGAGCTTACTGCCCCGCAAATGCGACCACCGGTCGGTTATGTTTATGGGCATACCAACACGGCCGACGAGACATTGCGGCGACTGCTATAAAGGTTAGAATCGGTGAAGCGCAGCACTGGAGGAGGGCAGCACAAGCAGCCTCCACAGCGTCTGCGATGCCCATGTTGGTATGGTCAGAATATAGCCGACCCGGTGGCCACAATCGCGTGCAAGCGCGCTCCAGCAAATTGTCATAGAGATCAGTGGTATCGATGGTGTGGGTGTACGTTCTTGAATAAAAACTGAGGTCCCCGTTAGCGCGTGCTCAGCAACAACAACGTAAACTCCCTCGATAAAAGAAAAAAAAAAAAGAAACATTGAGGGATTTTACAACGACCGATGACATCTTGGAAAATGTCCTTCCCCATCGCTTTCTATGTTTTTGTAAAGTGCACGCGCTCCGGTGTCACCCGGCTCGAGCGCTGAGCTTTACAGTCAGTGCTTTGAAGCATAGCCTCCTCATTTCTTTGGCCAATGTTTGTATATATCTTTTCTTGGCACGTGCAGGCGGCATTCGGTACGACAAAGGATGTCTTCACCCTGTCAGACAGACGTCGAGGAACGCGATTCCGCCAGTGAATACTATTTGTAAACACCCAGCGCATTTTATAGCACCCATAAAAAGACGCATGACCTTAATACTTGTGCCTTCAAATATTAGGATTCTTATTATCGAAGCACCTTCAGTGAAATACTACATATTGAAATTGTTTTCGAATTCAGAAAGTTAAATGTTTCACGGTGTTTGCTCTGTTGCCACGGTAGAATTGTTCGAAGTATTTGCGAGCGAGTAGTGCTTTTAGAAATGAAGCTCGCGTACCTCAGTGTCAGCATGAGCCGTTGGTCAGCCGGGATGCTCTGCCGCCATCGTGTGTCTTGTCGAGTTATCAGGGGGCGGACCATCTCGAGTAGACTGGTGAAGCTAGCGGGCGTCATACGTAGAAAGCTGGAAATGTAATTGCACGCCTATTAATTTGGGTTCCTGGCTGTAAATGAGGAGGACATTCATGATTTATGATTGTTTTATTTATGCAAGAACTAACACTCACCTTCGAAAGAGCTCCGTGTCTCGGTCCCTCAGCCTAGGAACAAGGTTCGCCGGGTACCCGTCGGTATCTCGGTGCCGAAAGATTTCACGAACCCAGAAGGCTCTTCTTGGCGTTGAGCCGTCAACGCACATATGCACTAATTGTGTATGCAACAGCATTTGTCGCATTTCTATCTCAGCATGCCACATGTCCGCCATGGTGCTGCTGATGCACACCCAACCACAGGAACCGGAACCGCAGTGCACGCGCTAATCCGCAGCACCGCGGTACAAGGAGCGCTAACAAGGCGCTACTGGAGCGCTAACAGAGCGCTACAGAAGCGCTAACAAAGCGCTACAGCAGCGCTAACAAAGCGCTACAAAAGCGCTAATCGCGCGCTATATGAGAACTAAGTCACGCGCGAGAAGCGCCACATGAGCGCTCCTTGGAGCGCTCACGTAGCGCTACAGAAGCGCTCCGCTGTATGTGTGAACAGGCCTTAATCGTCACTTCAGTATCGCGTCTTGCAATTGGCTAGTAAAAAGGGGGTCCGCTTTCAAGGCAGAGTCGCATAGTGTTGGTGACCAGTTTCGATACCGACCCAACCATCTACCCTGTACGGAGCTTGTGAGCCCCGTTTGTAAGGCCCGGCCACTACAAACAGCTGATTTTTCTCCCCTTGATCGCTTAAGTTATTCGAGCTTATTGCGTCCGTCACTTAGCCGTCCTCTGTACCGCGCGAACGCACGAGCCTCGCCGTATTCGGGAATTCGTAAGCAAACTAGGGCGGTGTGAAATCCGAGCGGTCTTGATATCGCGAAGGCTCGCCTGCACCAACAAAAAGTAAGGAAAGGTACGTTAGAAAAAAATCTCTCTTTAAATTCAGCACGTTTACGAACCTTCGACAAAGTGAACCCAGCAAACAAAGGAGTTCACGGTTGGTTGCCAAGGCATTGCATCAGGGTTCTGTCTCCGTGAAGCTTAAATTCGTTTCGCACGCTTTAAATGTTTTGCCAGCGACTGATATTTTTATCTGTTTTTCTTCTCTTTTCACATGGCAAGACGCGCATGTCTATAGCGCACGCCTGAAGGACGGAAAGCTTTATCGTGTTATTCTTTACTTGAGTACCATGTATGGCGTGATTACGTCGCACAACCTCGCGTGCACATTTACTATTAACGGGAAAATAATCGAGAGTGTAAGCGAGCTGGTGTAAGTTGAACATGGTGGAAAACTTGATATGCGAATATGCATTGAGGACAGGGACGGAAACAGGACTTCTTTTAAGAAGTCCTGTGTCCTTGATCTTTTATCCTTTCATGTATTCGTATCTATTCACCGATAAGCTCATTTTTAAGCATTAAACCTGAGACTGGTGTAGGAAAAGGAAAACGCAAAAAAAGAACAGGCATCGATCGTCTCAAGAGACGTTGCCTGTTCTTTTTCTGTCTCCTTTTGCGTTTTCGTTTTCCCACCCCTTTCCGGCTTACCGTCATGTTCCGATTTGCTGTATTTTAGTTAAAATCAGAATGTAGCGCCGTCACATTGATTATCCAGCCGGCTGACACGAGCGATTGGCGTCCTAGGCTTTTGAAACCAGGGCAAAATGGCGGGGTGTTTGACATCGAGTCTTTTTGTGCACCACCCGCAAAGGCTGCTGAAACTCCATAAAGGCTTTCATTTGAACCATTCTTGCTTTTATTTGTGCAACTTACAGCTGCGCGGTGGTGAGGCGCGACGACTATGAAGCCAAGCCGCGAGAATAGCGGAGGAGTCAAGCCGAACCAGCACTGTCTGTGCGACCGAGCGGACGAGAGAGCCACCAAAAATGGCGCCTTTCCCTTTCCTCCCTCTCTCTCAGGGTCGGCGCATGCGCCCAGCGATCTCTGAAAAAGGTCAATTACGTTTTCAAAGTATTTCTGCTCTACTCAAGATAGTTCTTTGTGAAAGTAACTTAGAAATACCACCCTAAATACATTTGCACACTCTAGAAAAAGCCCGTGCGTCCGCTTTCCCGCACAACACTCGCAGAGCCAATCACGGCAACTCACGAAGGCAGCTCGGCGAATGACGATGCCGAAACATATTTTAGACCAAAAAGCGCAGTCTGAGTTGTGACATTAAGCAATGCAAGCGCAACGTTTTGCATTGCTTAATGTCACAACTCAGATTGCGTTTTTTGGTCTAAAAATATGTCTCGGCATCGTCATTCGCCGAGCTGTCTTCGTAAGTTGCCGTGATTGACTCTCCGAGTGTTGTGCGGAAAAGTAGACTCACAGACTTTTTTTAGAGTGTACACACTTTTGTTGAGTATTTGGCACGACACTCTCTCACTCCCCTCACAGGAAACATCGCGAAACACGATCGGACGGACAGAGTA